TTCTAATGACATTTTAGAAATGGATGATGAAGGAAATATATCTTTAATTAAATATCATTTTGCAATCTGCTCTAATTTAAAAATTAGCCACAGGAAAAAAAGTAACATAATAATTATCCTATTACTTAAAAGTAATTTGTTTAAAATATGTATTATTAAAAAGTAATAATTACAAAATTTAATACGTATCTTGTTAAGTTGCTCAGTTTATAATTAAGTTCGTATTGTAGCTTTAGCGCCCAATGCAATATTATTGAATTCAATACATTATTTTTGTATAAAAAGGGGGGGGGGCATGATTTTAAAATTGTGATTGAAAATTAGGTCGCCAATATTGAAAGTTTGAGATGCACTGGCATAAGCTGATTCTGATCTCGACTCAACTCTCTTCTGACCTTTGTTGAAGGGCCCTTCATTTAACCTCATGGTAATTTTTAAGAGATCAATTCTAGAGCCTTCTCAAATGATTCCTTGGCGATGTCGTATTTTTGATCAAATTTGTCGCTAAGAGAAATAAATTGGCTAATCTAGTAACCCTGGTAACATTTTCTATGGTTGCCTTAATTTTATTCATTAAGTTCACTCTTGAAAGCTAGTTTTGCTTGTAAAACTCAATTTTCCCACAAAAAGAGCATTGCTGCAGGAGAAGTAACATACGTGGTGTGTTTCAATGTACCGTTTAAAAGATTGTAGCAGGGTTTCACTCGCGTTTCCCTCAACTAACCTCCTGGGTCATTTTATGATGTTTTTTGATATGAGAACCTCGTCTTGTGAAGGAATCCTGATGCATGCAGATAGGCATTATTTCTTATGCGGAACTGCTGTGAATAGCTAGGAGAGGATTGCCTAAGAATGTACTAGGAAGAGTTCAGTGGACGTTAACAAAACAATAAAGGTGAAGGTTGTGAAGTGATTATTATTTAACAATGAGAGCAGTTTGAATTTTATCCGTTTTTTTCAAATCTTGAAACAAATTTAAGAGTGAGGGAATCGATTGTTCACGTTTGATCAACGCAAAGAGTTCCGGATAGTATTTTATTAAACAGAAAATATATTTATTTAAATCTTATATTGTACACTTTTTTTGAAGATATTTAATAATAGCTTGAAAAGTTCTTTAATCTAAAGCAGACCTATTGTTTCAGTTACATCATCACTCAACAGAAGCTTCCGAAATTTTGAATATGACCTTTGACGATGCAGAAAAACACGACAGGCACGAGCTGCATCGAATTGGTCACGGTTTTCAAGTAGTTACATTCATCTATTTTTGTTTCCCATTATTTAACGAGAAACATTTCGCCTTTTGTCTGCAACTTCACCATTAACATCCACGGCACGTTCCAGACAATGAGAAAGACATTTTGTGTATAAAAGACCTATTCCCATTCATGTTCCTTATTTTCACCGTATCCTTCATAAACAATTAGTCTACCAACTTCACCAAGTAAGTTTTAAGCGATTAATATAAGATCTTCTATCTTTAGATTCATGTTTTTCTATTTGTAAATAAATGAAGTATTTTGAGCGAAAAATCAAAATTCTTTTTACGCGTTTCGAAGATTCCAAAAGTAAATTACCATATATTGCAGAAAATAGATACAGCGACGGAAGTCAGCATACTCATGTTTCAATAACTCTCTCGGAACGGAATATTATATAAGCTATAAAACGTATTCGTAAAAGTAAACAAATAATTAAGTATAATTTACTCCATGACCAGAAACAGTACTCTAAAAGAGGGCTCGGCGGACCTGGTTATATCAGTGAAACAAGATAACTAAAGATCCTTCCAAACAACCCAAGTAGCATCTAATAGAGGGAGCAGAGAGTTGGGGGAGATAGCTTTGAATAGAAATTGAATGAGCTCCTCCACTCTGGCACTCCCTGCTATACCATTATCTCAAGCATTCGAATAACCACGGTCTCTGTTTCCCATTCGTTGACTCATTGACTCATTTTAAAAGATATTGTGGAAATGCACTTCACACGCGACTACTTGCGCATTGAAATTAGAGAAAGTGTTTTATTGAATCTTTAGGGCAGGTTCATTCAAGGCAACTTTGTGCCAGTCTACACATCTCTAGTGTGAAGAGGGAAGTTAATACCTTTCACACGCGGGCACAAAGATGTGTGAAAAGGGAGTGCCGGACTCATCGGTACAATGATTGAGTTAGAAGAGACAATGAAAACCTTTCTCCATTTTTCATACACTTGTAATCGCGTGTGAAGAGAGAGAGCGTAGCTTCCATAATGTCCTTTCAGTTTAGTCAACTAGTGGGAAAAATATCGTTTTCTTCTAGTGTCTGAGGGAGTGGCACAGCAGGGATTGTAAAGTGATCCAGAAGACCTCTATTGAAAATTAGCTCTCGACTGTTTGCTCTTTCTGTTAGGATTGACACAAGTTTATTCGCATGGAAGGGCCCTTATCGTACCAATGCTTTCGGCATTCTCTTTTCAGTCAACTTTGTGTCAATGTTTGAAAGGAGTTCCTTCCCCTTTCCACACTAGATAAGTGACAGAAAACGAGTTGACTGGCACAAATTTGCCTCGAGTGAAATCGGCTTAAGGTGCAAAAAGAGCCATTTATATGCATACGCAGACGCTCTGAGAAAGATTCCATCAGTAGAGGCTATAATCAAGACTGTCGTGCTCCAATTAATACCTTTTATATTATTAAATAAATCTTACGCACTGTAACGTTTTCCATTTCTTCAAAAATTAAGAACTATAGAAAATATTGTTATTCCTATGGCTCAGTGTAAGAACATCGACAAAATATCACAACGTAGGAAAAATTTCATAATTCGTGAAAAAAGTGTCCGTACCAATAAGAACATAAATGCTTTACTTTATAATTTTCTGTTTACACTGATAATTATGATTGACTTAAATTGCTGTATACTATAGTTATAGTATAGATGTATATAGCTTGTGAGGGAAGAGTAATCTCTTCTCACAGTGTGAGGAATTGGAAGGAAGACTAGTCATATTCCATAATAATTTCAATTTATTTTCAGTATCAACAATAACGCAAAATCTATTATCGACAGAAGTTACAAAATTGTAAATATGAATTACAATAGCGAGACCGACGAGATACGAGAAGACTTATAATTAAAACAGATCCCTTACGTCCAACCGTAATTACAAGCGTCAGTATGCAGTTCTGTTTTTCTTCTATACTTGTAGATGTGCAAGAGTGGGCCTTCGGACATAATTTTCTTTAACTTCTCAAATGCTTCTTTTTGTAGAGTCCCCAAAACAAAGGGATTTTCTTTTCTTGTTAAATCGCTACGTGGTTTAGCTATCGTTGAATAGTCCTTGATATATTTGCGGAAATATCCAGTTAAGCCAAGAAAACTCTGGACTTGTTTTATTGTTGTTGGTTCGGGGAATTTTCGGACAGCCAGTGTCTTCGCCGTAGATGGTTTAATAGTTCCATTTTCCACAACGTGACCTAGAAATTCAATTTTCTTTTTTAAGAATTTGCATTTCTTGAATTTAATTTCTAATCCGTATTTTTTAGTGACTTCGAAAACAATTTTAAGTTTTTCTAGACCTTCCTTTTCGTTTTTCGCTGGAATTACGAGATCATCTAAATAACTGATTACAATTCCTTTCCGTGTAAGATCTCTAAATATACTTGAAACATAGCGTTGGAAAACTCCCGGACTTGTGCTTAATCCAAAAGGAACTTTGTTAAATTCAAATTGCCCGTCTGGGACGATAAATGACGCATACTTTCTGCAATCTTCGTCAACATCTACGTGGGAAAAGCCATTAGGTAACTCGAGAATGTAGAATATACCTTTGCTTCTTGCAAAGTGTCCAAAACATCATCGATGAGATGTAAGGGAAATTTATCTTTCACTAGCTTCTCGTTCAACTTTCTGTAATCAATACACATTCTCTACGATCCCTCTTTCTTTTTTACTATTACGATTGGAATTGCATATTCCGATGAACTCGGACGTATAATGTCTTCTTTGAGCCATTCCTCTATTTGTGTATTTACCTCTTGTCTTTCTGTCGACGAGGGGGTTGACAGACTGGTTTTTCGTCTTTCAGGATAATTCTCATTGTGACGTCGGTAGATGCTGTTTCTTCTGGCTTGTAATTTTTTATTAACTTCTCAAGTTCCTTCTTAATTCGGCGATTTTCAACGTGACGCAGATCTAGTACTTCTTGAAGATTTCCAGCGGATATTTGCATAAGCAGTGCTTGATTTTCGTATTTGTTGAATTTAACTCCTTCTTTGTTGAAACTTATCGATGCTTATTCCAAAAGGTCTGACCAAAATAACTGCTTCGAATTTTAATATATCGACAGGTACAAGTCAATTAGTAGTTCTCATTTTCCATTTCGAATTCGTGTTCAAAGGAACCGATAGCTTCACTTGTGCTTCGCCAATACCTGTGAGAAGTATTTTGTTCTTCGATAATTTTGTTGGATCCATTATTCTTCTGCTTGTGTTCTCTCGTAGCAAGCTTACGGTGCCACCACCGGCTATAAGCGCTGTGATTTTCTTCTTTCCGAAAAATATTTAATTAGTACGTAATTATGAGTTTTAGAGGAGTATTTACAGGAGAAATGTTTACAGAATAGAAATTAGAACATGCTATTATTGAAAAAATAGAAAAGTTAGATTATTTCCTCTAGAAGGACGTTAGAGATTAAATAAAACTCATTATGTGTGTGCGATGGGATTGCAACTTACCGCCTGGTTAATGCGAACGGGTACGGATGCGCGAAAGCGCTGCTTCGTTGTCAAGTGCTAGTGGGCCTCTGTCGAAAAATAAATTGCGTCGACGTTTTGTAAGCACGCTAGATGGCGTTGATGTAGAATACCGTTTTGACTAATATTCCCGTCCTCTGCAAAGGGATATGATCTAACCTTTCACAAAGAAAGTTTCATGGGATACCCTATATTAATTAAATTTAATTATTATAATAAAATAGTATATAGTAAAAAGAAATCACATTCTAAGAAATTAGGACTTCTCAGGTGGGATTCGAAACCACGATCCTTGGATTAGAAGTCCAACGCGCTGTCCATCGCACAACGAGCACTTTTCCTTTTTATATATGGTGTTGGACTATTATTTTTGTTACTATTTATTCATTAACAAAATTTAATTAATGAATTAATATTTGAAAAAACTGTATTAACATCAAGTGTCATCCGCTACGTTAAAAATATATTTTAACTTGAATGGATGGATAAAAAGTATTTTATTAAGGATTGAAAATTTGAACAAGATATATATATATATATATATTTCAAAAAATATACTAAAAATAGTTATAACCTAAGATAACTATAGTCATAATAGAAAAGATTTAGCCACAGAAACACTAAAAGCAAACTCCCAGCCTTAGGAACTAGGAATGCAGGTTTAAACAAAGTTTTCTGGCCAGCCAACCTTCACCTGAATTTGCCAGTATTCTGGGCCATAGGGAAAGCAATAAATTTCTAGAGAAGTTTAACTATATTATAGATAAAACCATAATCTATTAATGTAATACTATAATGTTATAGCCTTTAATAATTACTAAAATATTTAAAATCAAAGCTAAACTAATAGAAGACTTACCACGGGAATACATATTCGCCTCTTATGGACAATAACAGTAACGCATATAATTATTATGTATTGATAAGGTAGCATTATTACTATATATATACTTTTAAAAATTCTATATTTTATTTTAAAAATTTATAGAAAATAAAAATACCATCCTATATATATATATATATATATATATATATATATATAGAGAGAGAGAGAGAGAGAGAGAGAGAGAGAACTAAATAGTAGGAATTGAAAAAAGGATAACCTCGATTTTTACACGGTTAACAAATGGTCTTGTGGGTAGGAACAAAGAAATAAAACTGTAAAAAAAATATCGCAACTGTCCAAATTATTCACTTGATTGAAGAAAGGAAGCACCCGTTGAAACGCGGAGGAGACACCTAATTTGATCACTTCCTCTCTTTTCGCGGTTATTAAATAAATTCTCCTCCCTTTCCCCTTACCTTCATTTAATTGACAGAACTTTTTACTGCGCAGTACTAACTAATCCTGTGCCCACGAATTTTATAAAGTTTGTAAGAATTCAAAGATTATTTTTGTCATAACTATAAAAAATGTTGTTTTATGGAATTGTAAATTCGTGAAATCAATTATTCTTACCAGAAATAGTTTTATATTTGTTACGCAAATAATTACAGAACGTATATTACACAAGGAAAAAAAATGGTTCGAATCAGATAGAAATGCTTATTGTAGTACAATCTGCTACAATTTTGGCATTTTGAGAAATCAAAATGTAAAATGAAGGTTGAAATATTTTACTATCGAAAAAAATGTACCAGTATTTCAAATGAGACATGATGGCTTTGTTAATGCAAAGGGATCAAGTACTAAACACCCCAATTTTAAAAATGTGTACATAAGATTAACTGTTTTTTTTCCTTTTGTTAAATGTTTTTAGTACAACTTTTAAACAAACTTTTTTTGTGTGGTACTGAGATTATTTTTTTAATTTCTTTTTTCTTAAAAAAAAAAAAAGAAAAGGGAAAAACATTTTTTTCTGTATAATCCTTAAGAGTTGTCATAATACACATAATTTTAATATCCGACTCAGAGCGTCGCTGCTTCCAAGTTCATCGCCATTGTTCCCCGATTGCGAGTCGAATAAATAAATAATTTGAGAGTATTCGTCTGATTTATAAGATCCGTTACTGGGCTCAAGGGGTTGCGAAGACTATGGGAAAAATATAGGATTAGTTTTAATAATAAGGAATCTTTTGTGTACATATGATCATTATTCCCTTACAAAAATCTGTTCTAGTTAAAAACTAGAACAGATCTTTGTAGAACAAATGAAAATGAAAATGGCGAAAAAAGGAAAATAAACTGATGGGCTCAATATTAAAATTACATGTTATAAATTATTTCGTTTTATATTTGGTTTCTTTTTTAAAAAATTAGTTTTTTCATTATTTATTTATTTTTCTTACCTGAATAATTTTCGTTCGATTTCAGTTTTATGATTTTACTGAATATATTAAATGAGGTAAAAATGCTTTTCCATAAGAAAAAAAAATTAAATTTTGATGATAATTTTAGTTACAAAAATTAGATTTGCAATCAAGTCATTCACTGGAAATGACATGACAATAGTATTATTTTGAAAAAAAATTAAACAAAGAAAAAATAAAGAAAGTACCGAACTTTAAAACAAGATATCAATCATTGGCATGGCCAAGTAATTTTAGCGCGTTTTTCACATGTTGTATTTTACAATAATGCAACTAATGAACTTTTTACTAACAGAAAGTAGTGTGTGTACTGTACCACTCCTTTAAATGTACTACTATTGAGCTGAAAAGAAATAATGACACAAATCTGTATCAGCACTATAAAAAAGCAAAAAAAAAACAAAAAAAAATTTTTTTTACAGAAGCTACAAAAGCCCGGACAAGGTGACTTAGCTCCTTGTCTAGGCATAAAACTCGCTTCTATGTATTCTTTTAAGTTTAACAAGGAAAAGTATATACAATTAATAATAACTTAACTACTACATTACTTAAAGTTTATTTAGCTTAACTAACAAAGGCTTATGGAATGAAAAAATGACTCGTATACGTAAACACTGATGGTGTAGTCAGTCAATTTTCCAAAGATTGCATCGATAGTGGTGCCAGAATCAGTTGTTGGTTCAGGTGGTGATAGCATGTCGAGGTCAAATTCCGTTTTCAAATATGTTCTTAATGTAAAAAAAAACTTTTTGCAAACAATAAATTTACTAGGTAAAATTTGAGAAAATTTTGTTATAAACTAGCGAAATTCAGGAAAATTTGGGAAAACTATTGGAAAATTTAAATATGATTCGGCTCATCTAGGGCACAAATGTGACCAAATGCCGAAAACCCGAGGTCAATTGGTTGCTTATTGGCTGAGAAAAAGGTACGACAAAATATGGAATGAAGACGAAATTTGCGTCCTAATAGCGCTTTTGTTCCACTACGTGAAAAACGCGCTAAAAATACAGTAAACGATTAGCAATGGAATAATCTCGTTGCTAGAAGAAGATAGACGAGAACATGATTATTATGTAGATGCTATTAAGAGTAAATCTCTGAAAAAAAATGGAATAATATTCAAAACAAAATAAAGACAAAGAATATAAATTGAAGTTAAAGGAAAGGCTAAGAATAATTGTAAAAATTAAGAAGTCATTACATTTAATAATTAAAACAAAATTAAATCCAAAAATACTAAGACAGTTATGCTGGCTGAAAAAATTTGTTTTAGGATGAAATTCGATTTTATTTTTTATTCAAACTTTTTTTTCTTTCGATTCTCCTTTTTTTTTTTTTTTTGCATTTTTCTCCGACGGTAAAAATTAATTTTCATTTAGATGGAATGTAAAAAAAATATTTCATTTTCTCATGATAACGATTAAAATAAAACGATTTAAATTTTATCAATTATATCATTAGAAATTTAAGAATGAGACCAATATGGTTTGTGTGTGTGTGTGGAACAACTTGTTAATTTTAAGTCTTAAACTTGTTGAAAAAAAAAAGGCATTTTTTTACCAATTTTTAGTGCATTTTCACGTAGCGTTAAACAAACGCGTTATTAGGACGCAAATTTCGTCTTCGTCTTCGTTCCATATTTTGTCGTGCCTTTTTCTCAGCCAATAAGCAATCCATTGACCTCGGGTTTTCGGCATTGGGTCGCATTTGTGCCCTAGATGAGCCGAATCCTATTTAAATTTTCCCATAGTTTTCCCGAATTTTCCTATAAATTTTCCTGAATTTCGCTAGTTTATAACAAAATTTTCTCAAATTTTACCTAGTAAATTTATCGTTTGCAAAAAGTTTTTTTAAAAAAAATCTACCTGCATTTTGGAGGAAATCTTCACAAAAAAAGTTCAGAAAACAAGTATAAAAGGCTCTGATGGTACAGTACTACTTTCTATTAGTAAAAAGTTCATTAGTTGCATTATTGTAAAATACAACAAGTGAAAAACGCACTAAAATTACTTGGAAATGCCAATGATTGATATCTTGTTAATTTAATATTAAAGGAAGGAAGTACAATATTTTTTACAGGATTCATGAATTAGTAATAGTCATTAGTTTTTGCAAATCTTGTTTCCACAAGCACCATAACCATACTCACCATTTTTACGCGTATTTAATTAAAATATTAATATAATAGATGTGAGTACCAATTTATAATAAAATTTGCTATTCATCTTCATCGTAAACAGCATAGTTATGAGCCAGTGCCTTCCCCTAAAGAATTTTACATTACGACTCGAGATTGTTCTCCAGTTCTTTTCATTAATTGCGAGAAAACCAGATTCCACCGAATCAGCTCAACTCAAGCGCGGTCATCCCCGCCTTCTGGCTCCAATCGATCTAAAAATGTTACTTTTTTAAAAAAAATTTTACCAGTGTAACATTTTCTAAAATCAATTTTGTAAAACAATTTATATAATCGTAACCCAATTTTGGAAAACAACGATTATTGATCCAAGCAATGTACAAATATGGCATAAATTTGTCACAATTGGTACATAAATATATATTAGCATACTCCAAATTTAAACAGTATTCATGTGTCTTGTATTCCTGACATTTAGAAATTGTTCAGTCAAGAATTCAGTCCAAAGCAGTTTAAAATCGACTTGTGCCGGAGAGTGAAGCCCAAATTCGGTACACATTTTCGAATAAAAAGAAGTTATATCCAATGTTAAAATAAAGCTCGAGTTATCATCTATACCGGTGATAGTTAACCTGGTGCGTATCGCCCACTTGTGGGCGCTAGCCCCTTTTTTGGTGGGCGCTACGAAAATTCTGATTTTGTATTTTTTAAAATTTATCTTCCTATATTTTTCCTTAATTTTTTTTATTACTATTTTTACCAACACTTTGCATACTTTGTGGCGTTAATTTCTTCTCTTTTTTTTATTGCGAGCAGTAACAAGTATGTATTCAAATAAACAAAACCCAAATTCGTTACTCGGGCAACCAAACAGACAAAAA